CTGCTGGGTCTCACAGGTATAAGCCTCCATTTTTTGGGGATTTTAATGGATTTTGAAGCCACGTTTGATGACCGGATGGTAAACGAAGGAAACTATTGATGATTTGTAGGTGATGATTATTCAATGGTGATATTCCATAGCTACGTTACATATCCATTCATATCCAGGGGTACATTCCCGTTACAAGCCATTGAAACCACGTAGCAACTTGCAATGGGACCAGCCCAACGTCAGGTGATGCCACCAAATTCGTGGGCGGTGCTGCTTTCGGAGGCGCAGATGGATACTCCACTGAGGTACGGAATTAAAGACATATATTGGTGATGTCCCATACATTGGTTAATAGTGATGGTTAATAGTGGTTTTCATAGGGCATAAACCAACAACAATGGGAATATGATGGATATACTGGTTGGTGGTTTGGAACATTTTTTATTTTCCATATATTGAGAATAATCATCCCAGCTGACTAATATTTTTCAGAGTGGTTCAAACCACCAACCAGATCACAATCTTGTAAAGTGGTCGCCAATGAAGTGTATATTCAATGCGGCAAGTGCTGCAAACACTCAAATCATTGCTTGTTTCTTTCCAATCCGAAATTGCAGCCGTTCAGGGTTTCAGATGCTGACCTCACCCTTTGACCAGAACATATTTCCCCACCTGCCAGGTGAGGGTTGTTAGATTTTATCAGAGCTGTTCTCCTCCTCCTCCGCCTCCTCCTCCATCTCCTCCTCGTCCTCCTCCTCGCAGTCCAGATCCCAGTGGGCACTGCCGGACCTCCACCGCGAGCTCCAGATCCCAGTGGGCACGAGCTCCAGATCGCAGTGGGCACTGCCGGACCTCAACGGCCAGAAGATATGCCAGAACATATGCCAGAAGATATGTCAGATAGAATGCCAGAAGATTTGCCAGAAGATATGCCAGAACACATGCCAGAAGATATGCCAGATAGAATGCCAGATAGAATGCCAGATAGAATGCCAGAAGATTTGCCAGAAGATATGCCAGATAGAATGCCAGAAGATATGCCAGATAGAATGCCAGAACATATGCCAGAAGATATGTCAGATAGAATGCCAGATAGAATGCCAGAAGATATGTCAGATAGAATGCCAGAAGATCTGCCAGATAGAATGCCAGAAAGATATGTCAGAATATATGCCAGAAGATATGCCAGATAGAATGCCAGAAGATATGTCAGATAGAATGCCAGAAGATATGCCAGATAGAATGCATCAGATTCGCCAGATAGAATGCCAGAAGATATGCCAGAAGATATGTCAGATAGCATGCCAGAAGATATGCCAGATAGAATGCCAGAAGATTTGCCAGATAGAATGCCAGAAGATTTGCCAGATAGAATGCCAGAGATATGTCAGAATATATGCCAGAACATATGCCAGATAGAATGCCAGATAGAATGCCAGAAGATATGTCAGATAGAATGCCAGAAGATATGCCAGATAGAATGCCAGAAGATATGTCAGATAGAATGCCAGAAGATATGTCAGATAGAATGCCAGAAGATATGCCAGATAGAATGCATCAGATTTGCCAGATAGAATGCCAGAAGATATGCCAGAAGATATGCCAGAAGATATGCCAGATAGAATGCCAGATAGAATGCCAGAAGATATGTCAGAATATATGCCAGAAGATATGCCAGATAGAATGCCAGATAGAATGCCAGATAGAATGCCAGAAGATTTGCCAGTAAGAAAATCTATAAATGTCATGGTGGGGATCACACGAAGTAAAGTAATTTTTCTATCACCATTGTTATACTTAAGGTTTAAGTTGATCATTGAAAATTTCAAAAAACAACTATTCCCCAAATGATCGATTTTTAATTAAAATCTTGATAAAATAAATCATCAGTTTGGATAGCTCCCAAAGGGTACCCCCCATGAGCCCATGTCCCCCATTAATAATAACCAGGGTTTGCCCCTGATTAATCAACCACCTTTCTGATCCATGAGATTTTAACAAATCCAATGGAATTATATTAAGATCTAATTGACGTAAGCCATATCCAAAGTTTTATGGTTCAGAGTTGCTTCTTATTAAGGGGTGGTCAAGAAAACCAGTCAGAAGGTACCCCCCCTACCTTCTGGGGGGGGGGTTTATTAATCCGGTGTTGGCATTAGGTATTTTAGACTACCTCCGGGAAGGTTTTCCTTGGCCCGCCCAGCCATTTAAACATACGGAATCCAATTCATTTAAACATACTGCGACTACATTTAAATATACGAACTGGTATTTCATACTACCTCCGGGGCCTTGCCGTTTGGCCCGCCCTCCACATATTTAAATGTCGTTACCATATATATATATATAAATATGTATATATATAGAGATACATATTTATGCATATACATATAAAGCTATTAAGACATATACATTATGAAATGTACAAAAATATACAAATATAATCATATAAACACAATGTATAGATGTATGCACACACATATGGACGCTTCCTGAAATGGGGTACCCCCAGTTATCATCCATGTTA